TTTTTTTTGTCGATGTACTACCCAGGGGTTTTGGTGAAAAAGGTGAAAAGGGGGGTGTGGTCCAGAACTGTCCATCCCCTACTACTAGTGCAGTGCCCACGAAAGAAGTACGCGCGCGTGTTGGTTCACGCCCTGGATCTCTCGCTAATGCCTTTTACACACGTAACTGGGCGTATGACGTATTCACTTCTGTAGGCCTACTCTACAATCCGAATATCGACAAGAATATAATATCAAATCAGTGCTCAGAAATATGTGATTGCTGATCTTTCTGTAACTGAGTACCTATCACTATTTTGATGAGGGACCTTAATTCTGTGTTCTACAGAAATCCAAGTTTCATACTGTACCTTGAGCTAATACAGCGGCCATTTTGGGGCGTGAAAACAAATCTCATCACTTATTACTCATCGATTCGTTTAAAACAGTACATCGTTTTGCAACAACAGTAATCATTACAAATTCCTGAGGGGGCTTGGGGCTTTTACCCCCCCCCAGTCTAGCCCCCCCCCAGCAAAAAATGCAAAAGCAGTAGCGACACTTAAAAGGTGCCGTCACGTACGAAGGGTCTATAGTCTCCCCCGAAATCAAAATGGCTCTAGACCCGCCCCTGATGAGAGAAGTCATAAAATGGTGATTCAGTACAGCCTTTGGTCTATGCCGTAAAAGTAAAAAAAATAGCACGTCTACTCACAATTCTGGATGAGATTTTGATAGGAAAGCGACATAATCTGCTAATCAACGTGTCAAGCCCATTGCTTGTGGAGAAGCTGCAATCAACCTTTTTTTAATTAACTTTTTTCAATACTTCAAAGGGTATTTTCTACTTTTGGGGTTTTAGGCTAATGATATTTCCATAATTATTCATGACCAAATCTGGGATGTCATCCCAGGGAGAAAACCTAAATGTACTTTGGTTTGTACACAAAATGTCCCGCATTTTTGTAGATGTTGGAGGACTAAATTTTCTCTTCTTTGCAGATTCATTGCAGTTTATGAAGAACATTATCCAGTAAATAAATTTGAGGCTCACAATTCAACAGAAAACCCTGTGCACTGAGGTATGTGTTCCCTAATGTGTCTACGAAAAAGTCACTACGGCTACACGTTAGAACTCAACATGCGGCTAGATAAAGCACTTTTCTAGCCTTTTTCCTTACTTCAACGTACACAAGACGTGTTTTGCTGTAGGTCCGCCACCTTTCAGTTCGCTATGGAATTCCATATCTGCCGTCGCCCGTCGTCCGTCGCATTTTGC